GATTGTAGAGACTCAGGTCTGCTGCTGGTGGACAGATGGAATGAGTGAAGGCAGAGGACTCAGCCCTCTGATGGAGGAGAAGAGTGAGTTTAATCTTTAGCAGTGCCTCTTTATACTCTCAAAACTACAGCCACAACTTGGTGTTTGTGCCAGAATACATGAAAGAATTAATTTCACAAAGAACAAAACACATTCTACAAGTTTACCTTTAATCAGTAGGCTACAAAGAATATATTAGTTTCTTACACAATCTACAGATTTTAACAATTTCCAGGAAGGCTACTCAGCTGGTGATTATGTATAACATTAGATAGACATCCTATGTTTTGCAGTACCATGGCTTAGACTTATGATGTTTTTCTCTGATCTGTGACCAAGCTGCTGAGCCCAACATTCTTGTTTTCAAGAAATGTCCAGACCTCGTCCCTGACCATTCATAACCTTTTCCTTGCTGTTCTCCTTCACAAGATAAAAAGTAAAATAAAGAGCTGGGGGTGTCCCAGTCATAGGGCACTATCTAACATTTATGAACTCTACGTTCAGTTCCCAGTACTGAAAAAAGAAATTGAATTTTTTCCACCTGTAGAACACACCCAAGGCTCTACAATTACTAATAGATTCTTTTAGGGGGAAAAAAGCATTTGGGCTGGGAATGTAGCTCAGATGGTAGAGTGTTGCCTAACATTCTCAAAGCTGAGTACTATATGAACTGAGCGTGATAGTGCACACCTATAGTCTCAGCACTTGAGGAGGAGGCAGGAAGATCAAGATTATCAAGACATAAATAGGCAAGAAATTCAGGATTATCCTCAGCTACATAGTGAGTTGGAAGCCAGCCTGGTTTACATGAGACCCTGTCTCAAGAAACAAAACAAAACAAAACAAAAACGTTCTACTTTTTCCTGGTTTTATATCTCCCTCATAAAGTCATAAAACTTTTGAATGTGGAGAGAACTTTGAAGCCATCTAATCCTGTCTTCTGGTACAGATAAGGAAACCAAAGTCTAAAGGTTCAGATTAACTTGATCAAGGCCATATAACAAGTAAATGACAGAGCTAGAACTTGACACTAGGTTTCTGCCTTACCAGGCCAGTTGTTCAAGTATACCATACTGTTCCTCCTTCTGAGGAGTCTCCTCAGTTACTCTCAGGTTTCAGAAAACTGTAAAGAATTAAAAAAAAAAAAACAACTTTTATTTATATTGCATTTAACTCAACTATTTTTTCTTTAAAAGATTTATTTTTATTTTTAACTCTGTGTGTGTGTTTGTGTGTGTGTGTGTGTGTGTGTGTGTGTGTGTTGTGTTGTGTTGTATGGGTGCTCACCTGCACAGTGTGCATGTGCAGAGATCAGAACACAAGTTGTTGGGGGTCACGTCTCTCCTTCCAGCATGTGGGCTCCAGGGATTGACATTGTTGATCCATCTTACCTGCCCCCTGCTTTTGTTTTGAAACCAGATTTTTATATCCTTGAGTGACTTCAAACTCAAGATCCTTTTGCCTCAGCCTCCTGAACTGGGATGTGTGGGATGCCCTGCTATATGTGTCATTTGCTTTAAAATTGACTTTGTCTGTTTGGCCTTTTTCTGTGTCAATCCTTGCATGCATCTTACTTGGGTCTGAAGAGCTGTTGCTCCATGGCAATTCTTTGTTAATTTTCCACACTTAGAGGATAATAGGGTTTTTACTTAAGCAGATTATTATTGTCCAAATAGAACCCTTCTTCATTTGTGCTTTGTGATATGATGTGGCCAATCCCAGTTTGTCTGTTGAGTACTTAAAATGTGACTAATACACCTGAGAAACTGAATTTAAAATTTTTTTAGCATTTTTATTGAATTTTTGCGATTTCCAAACAATATAATTTGATGACATTTATATCCCTTCTCCCATCCATACCTCCCTGCATTCCCCCTCCCCTCACTTAATTCAATGTATTCTTTCTGGGTAATAAAGCCTATAAAGTCTAACTTGAATCCCCAGATGTTCTCCAACATGGGTTCATCCACTTGAGCTTGCATAGGACTTGTGCATGCTGTCAACATTGCTGTGAGTTCATCTGAGTAACTGGCCAGCTGTCTGGAGAACTCTGCCCCTTCCCCCCATGGTCATCCACCACCTCTGGCTCTTACAATCCCTCCACCTCGTCCTCTGCAATGATTCCCAAGTCCTGAGCTCCCGAAGCCTGACAGAGGCATCCCACCCAGAGATAAGTGCTCTGCAGCCCCTTCCTCCACACATATTAGAAAGCTCTAAGTTTCTGTGTCAATCACCATCTGCTGTGTAAGGAAATTTCTCCCGTGAGAGTTGAAAGATGCATTAATCTTCAGCAGTAGGTGAGCACCTGATCCAGCGCAGTTCATTCTGGTCATCCCTCCTGGAACTGAGAGTCATTATTATTATGAGGGTACCACAGTACATCTCCCAGGAGGGGGCCACAGCTCCAGATCACAGGAGAGGACCACAGCTTTATCTCACAGGAAGGGATCACAGCTACAGTTCACAGGAGGGGAACCATAGCTCTGTCTCATAGGTGGGGAACCACAGCTCCAGCTCACAGGAAGGGAACCACAGCTCTAGCTCAGAGGAGAGGACCATGATTCTAGCTCATAGGACAGGACCAGGACTCCAGCCCACTGGAGAAGACCATAGCTCCAGTTCACAGGAGGGGTCCACAACTCCAACTCACAGGAGGGGAGCCACAGCTCCTGCTTACAGGAGAGGACCATGACTCCAGTCCACAGGAAGGGAACCAGAGCTCCAGTTTATAGGAAGAACCATAGTTCCAGCTCACAGGGGAAGCCCATGACTCTAGCTCACAGGAGAGGACCACAGCTCCAGCTCATATGAGGGGAACCCCAGCTCCAGCTCACAGGAGGGAACCACTACTCCAGATCACAGGAGGGGAGCCACTACTCCAGCTCACAGGAGGTGACCACAGCTCCAGTTCACAGGAGGGGTCCACAGCTCCAGTTTACAGGAGGGGACCACAACTCCAGCTCATGGGGAGGGGGGAGTGTCCACAGCTCCAGCTCAAGGAGGGTACCACAGCTCCAGCTCACAGAAGGGGAGCCACTACTCCAGCTCACAAGAGGGGACCACAGCTCCTGTTCACAGGAGGGGTCCACAGCTCCAGCTCACAGGAGAGGACCACAACTCCAGCTCACATGAGGGGAACCACATCTCCTGCTCATAGGATGGGACCACAGCTTGAGCTCAAACGAGGGGTCCACAGCTCCAGCTCACGGGAGGGGACCACTGCTCCAGCTCATGGGAGGGGACCATAGCTCCAGCTCACGGGAGGAGACCACAGCTCTAGCTCACAGGAGAGGAACCACTACTCCAGCTCACAGGAGGGGACCATAGCTCCAGCTTACAGGAGGGGACCACAGCTCCAGCTCACAAAAGAGGACCACAACTCCAGCTCACATGAGGGGAACCACATCTGCTTACAGGATGGGACCACCACTCTAGCTCACAGGAGGGGACCACCACTCCAATTCACAGGAGCAGACCACAGCTCAAGCTCACAGGAGGGGACCACAGTTCCAGCTCACAGGAGAGGAATAGCTCCAGCTCACAGGAGGGGACGATAGCTCCAGCTCACTGGAGGGAATCACAGCTCCAGCTAACAGGAGGGGACCACAGCTTCAGCTCACAGGAGAGGACCATAGCTGTAGCTCACTGGAGGGGACCACAGCTCCAGCTAACAGGAGGGGATCACAGCCCCAGCTCACTGGAGGGAACCATAGCTCCAGCTTACTGGAGGGGACCATAACTCCAGCTAACAGTAGGGGACCACAGCATCAGCCCACAGGAGGGGGACCACAGCTCCAGTTACCTGGAGGGGACCACAGCTCCAGTTCCCTGGAGGAGACCACAGCTCCAGCTCACAGGAGTGGAAAATTTTTTGGTTTTTGAGATAGGATCTCATGTAGCCCAGGATGGCCTTGAAATCCAAATCCTCCTGCATCTACCTCCCAAATGTTAGGATTACAGACATGTACTACCACAACCAGCTGAAGGAGTGAACTTGAAATTTTATTCAGTTATTTGAAGTTTCAGTATCCTCACACAGTTAGTGGCTACTGCATTAAACGGTACAGAACTAGAGTCATAATGTTTAGGTTATAAGTAATAGAGATCAGTTTTGATTTGAAGGCAAATAAAAAATAGATTTACGCTGGGTATGGTGGCGCACACCTTTAATCCCAGCACTTGGGAGGTAGAGGCAGGCACATCTTTGTGAGTTCAAGGCCATCCTGGTCTACATAGTGAGTTCCAGGACAGCTGGGGCTACAGGAGACCCTGTCTCAAAAAGACAAAAAAAAAAAAAAAAGATTTACTAGATAGAATGTTGATGAAGTTGTCATTGAATGTTAATTAAATTTGGAAACTCAAAAAGACCTTGCTTCTCCTCCCTTTAGTCTACTTTTACTTCTCTTCCTATATTGGGTGGTCTACAGTTTTTTCTTTCTGAGATGCTCTCAATATGTAGCCCAAACTAGCCTTCAGCTTACTATGTAGCACAGGTTAGTTGTGGATCCTCCTTCCTTGGCCTCCTGAGTGCTAGGATTACAAATGTGGCACCATGTCTGGCCCTCTTACACTTTAGATGGATTTAGTCCATGTGGCAGTGATCCTGCCTACCCTGTGACTCCACAAGGAGAAGCTAGTCTTCTCTGTGAGCATCAAAGAAAAAGTCTCAGAGGAAGACACTGGTGTCCAACTTGAAGGGGTAGGTCATATGCCTACCTCTGAAGGTGCATGGGAAATGAGTGGGTTCTGTGATTGACAGCCCTAACAACTATGTGGAATAGGAGAGTATTTTCTTGCTTTTTTTTTTTTAAAAAGTGGCACATAGCCAGGTATGGTGGCACATACCTTTAATCCCAGCAATGGGAAGGCAGAAGCAGGCAGATATCTGAATTCTAGGCCAGCCTGGTCTACATAACAAGTTCCAGGCCAACAGGGACTACAGGGAGACCTTATCTCAAAAATAAATAAATAAACACTTCACAGATTTGCATATCACCCTTACACAGGGGCCTTGTTAATCTCTATATCCATCCAATTTTAGTATATGTGTTGCCAAAGCAAGCGCGCAATAGTGTCCTCTTTTTTTTGAAACGGTCTCATACAGTCCAGGCCAAGGATGACATTAAACTCCCGAACCTCTTACCTCTACCTCCTAAGTGTTGAGATTACAGATATATACCATTGTGACCTGTTTATTACAGTACTGGAGATCAAACTCAAGGCCTTGTGCAGTCTAGGCAAGCAATCTACTGACTGAGCTACAGCCTTTATTCTTAGTTTTTGCTTATTGGTTTGATTTTTCTTTTGTCTTTTTGAGACAGTCTCCCTGAAGCCCCAGCTGACCTGGAACTCACTGTGTATAGCGGGCTGGCCTTGAACTTAGAGAGATTCTCCTGCCTCTGCCTCCCAAGTGGTAAACATAGTTTTTAAATTGTTTAGTACTAAGTTTTAAGTGCTAGGCACTCATCTCAAAATTTTTAAGCAATAAGTAATTAATGTACTCATTCATGATTTTAAAAGTCCAGGGTTTATATGCCTTCATTCATGACTGACTCCAGCTATTCCATAAATAATTAGTAATAATACACGTGCATGGTATGGCTCATGTGTGGAGGTCAGGGGACAACTTGTGGGAGTCAGTTCTTTTCCTCTACCACGTGGGTCCCAGGGGTACCTCAGGGACATCTTTTGTACATAGAAATGGACCCCTGGCTCACACCTCCTCACCCAGGAGGTAGAGGCAGAAGAGCATCATAAATTTAAGGCTAGCCTGGGCTATACAGGGAGATCTGTCTCAGAGACACTCCTTCAAGACTGTATACAAGACTGTATACAAATGCTTGGTGTGGTGGCCTTTAATCCCAGCACTTGCAAGGCAGAGGCAGGTGAATCTTTGTGAGATGGAGGCCATGAGGTCCAGGCCAGCTGAGGCTACTGGGAGACTCTGTCTCAAAGAATAAACAGAAAAAAGGATGTATGCAATCTATTTGTTTAAGGATTTCAAGAGATCCCCGATCCTAGTGTCCATATTATATGCATAATGTTTTTATTTTATGTTTATGAGTGTATTACCTGCATGTATGTAACTACACCCATGTCATACAATGCCTGTGAAGTCAGAAGAGGGCATTGGATCTCCTGGAACTGGAGCATTATGAGACAAAAGATGATTCCCATTTTTAATGTCTTTTTGAATAGCATATTAAATTTCTATGTGTGTAATATTGAATTAAAGTATTTAGTTCTCCTTTGCCCTCCAAACGGTCTTCAGCAAATCAAGCCAAGGTGATGGGTTATTGGGTGGTGCATAAAGTAGGGTCCTTCACTCACTGAAAATTTTATTGTTGTTATAGGAAATATGTCTATAAAAACTGGAGCTCCAGATGGTTGTTGACTGCCATGTGGTTGCTGGGAATCAAACTCGGGTCATTTGCAAGAGCAGCTCGTGCTCCTAACCACTGAGCCATCTCTCTAGCCCCCTAAAAATTATTCTTAATTGTCTGAAAATTTCATTGATGACATAGCAAAACTTTAGAAAGTCTCAGTCTTCACTGGTAGAGGAATGATTAAATGAAAATAACTCCACGGGAGCATTTAAAAACCTTTTAAAATCCTCAAGATTAGTGGAAGGCTGGGTGTGGTCATGCATGCCTGTAATCCCAACATTAGGGTGGTGGAGGCAGAAGGCACTGTCCTTCAAGGCCAGCTTCCCCTACTTTGGAAATTCAAGACCACCCTGAGTACATGAGATTCTGTCTCAAAACTCAGTGGATTGTAGCTTAGTGGGATGTACCTAGTAGGGGAGTGCTGTGTATTGTGTGCGAGGCCGTGGTTTATGCCCAGCAGTATAGAGACAAAGGAAAAAACATTATCAGTGGGCTGAGTCAATGTCAGGATTCTGGCTGTGTTAAGGTAAGTAGTTTTGCAAGAAGTGAACACTGGGAAATCTGGACAGAGTACTTAGATCTCTCTGTATTATTTCTTAGAATCTTGATGTGAACCTTTTAAAAATAAAAGTTATCATTTAAAAATCTTGCTTTCTCAGCATGCCAGTGTGAAGGGAAAGATAACCGCATTCCATTACTGAAGGAAGTTTTTGAGGCCTTTCCTAACACTCCCATTAACATCGACATCAAAGTCAACAACAGTGTGCTGATTAAGAAGGTACTGAAGTCATTGCCTCCTTTGGAGTGTTACATCCAATTTCACAGACTCAGTAAGGGTAGAGTAGGTGGTGGATTGGCAGTGTTCAAGGAAATGTGTTAATCTGGGGATCAGCATTGTTTGATTTAAAAAACTAAATGAAGTTACAGTAGGCAAGAGACTGATAGCAATCAAGGAAGTTCAATACTCTTGGGATCAGCATTGTTTAAGGTAATGTTTGGTAAAGGTCACTTTCCTGTAGGAAAATTGCCTGTAGTCTGTTTTCAGATTGAGTCGACCTGTCTCCGTCATGGTTAAAAGTAGGATCTTATATACCAATCACCCTGGCACTTAAAATTGACTACTAGTTTAGTTTGTTTCATTTGTGGTTAGCTCATGTCAAATTACTAAATAGTTATGTTCTAGTAAATGAAATTTATTGAGGCAAATGTAAATAAATTTTCATTTTATAAAATAATCTCAATTTGGTTACTAGTTTTTTCACAATTTTATTATCTATTGGTAGATAATCAGTTGTAAACCATTTTTAAAGTAAAATGATACACATGGATGGACATACATGCACATGACTAAAATTCCGAATTTTCACGTGTAGGTTTCAGAGTTGGTGAAGCTGTATAAACGAGAACACATTACAGTGTGGGGTAATGCCAGTTACGAAATTGTAGAAAAGTGCTACAAAGAGGTAAGCACAAAACAATACAGTATGGTGCATCTGTGTTGCCTAAGTTATTACAGTAAAAGTTTTTAAAGACCACATACTCCGTAGCTTATGTCCAGATGGAAAGACTAGTCAGAAGTTTTCTAATAAAGATAATGGATCAAACTTTACAATTTAAGTCATTGTAATCAGACTGGTTCTCAGAATTGTTTTCACATGCTAATCCTTGTCTATCAGTACTATATGCATTATGAGACAAAAGATGATTCCCATTTTAATGCCTTTTTGAGTAGCATATTAAATTTCTATGTGTGTACTATTGAATTAAAGTATTTAGTTCTCCTTTGCCCTCCAAACAGACTTAAGCAAATCAAGTCAAGGTGATGGGTATTGGGTGGTATATAAAAATTTTATTGTTGTTGTAGGAAATATGCCTGTAAAAACTTAATTCAGTATGCTTTTAAATGGTATAGTAAATTTCCACGAGTAAGTTTTATGAGTTCATAGAACTTGAAATTCAAATGTTAAAAGAATTCCTTTTTAAAAAATTTAATTAAGTCCAGGTGTCTTCTTGGCACACACCTTTAGTCCCAGCACTCGGGAGGCAGAGGCAGGTGGATCTCTCTGAGTTCAAGGCCAGCCTGGTCTACATTGTGAATTCCAGGCCAGCTAGGGCTACAGGCAGACCCTGTCTCAAAAAGACTTAAAAAAAAAAAAACCCAAAATCCAAAATTTAATTAAGGCTGGGTATGGTAGTACACACCTTTAACCCCAGGACTTAAGAAGCAGAGGCAGGTGGTTCTCTGTGAGTTCAAGGTCAGCCTGGTCTACATAGTGGATGAGTTCTAGGCCATATGGGGCTACAGGGAGACCCTGTCTCAAAAAGACCAAAAACGAAAAATTAAAAATAAAAAAAATAGCCAGGCATGGTGGCACACACCTTTAATCCCAGCACTTGGGAGGCAGAGGCAGGTGGATCTCTCTGAGTTCAAGGCCAGCCTGGTCT